TTTTAAACAGCAGTCACATTGAATACAGGGATTATTTAGTTTTTTTTTGCTTGTATTACAAGTCCATTCGTTGCTATTTTTTTTTCCTCTATTTTTTTTTCTTAAAAGATAAAAAGCATCCGAAGTATTGAAATCTTTTAAAAACTGAATATTGAACTCTTCACTAGCCAGAGAATCATCAATTTCAGACATAGCATCAATGTCTCGAATCGAAATTTTTTATGTTTTCAATAATATGAGGGTCTTTAACTACCCACCCTAAAACCATTGTTAATTTTCTACCATAACTCATATGAGAAAATTTTTCTGGGTTTTATTTTGTATTTGTAGTCCAATTACATTTGTGGCACAACCTTTTGGTCGACCACGAGGGTTTTTATTTTTAAATGTAATTAAATCAATATTTTTATCGATTATAGATGCTGGTTGCTCTCTTTGTGCAACGGGCGATGTTGCGTCATTCAACCCAGGAAGAGTTTTCTATTGTAGTTCCAATGAATTGATATCCTCATCCGAACTTTCTGATGTTTTTTTGTGTCTTGTTTAAAAGTTCTTTTTCCATTTTTTGTAGGCTACTCTTTATCATTTCTAACTTTATTTTCGATTCATCGAACGTCTTTGATAATGCTACATTTTCTTCCATCTTCTGTATCAAAAAGTCAATGTTTTTTTCATAATCTATATTTCTCGTTTTATGTTCCTGTTTGTCAGATTCCTATTTGAAAAAAAAAATTACTACATTTATAATAAGTTATAAAATATAACTAAAAATGATAGTTCATTACACATTTATAATTATCAAAATTTTTATCGAATCTTAAAAGTCGAAATTCAATTTTTTACTTACAATCGGTTTTATTTCATTCAGTACTTTTATTCAGTATTTTTATTAAATATCGCAAATATAGTTCAAATAACTACAATACCAGAACAACTCACCTTTTTAGATTTCCAATATCTGTATTATTCCAAGACCCCTTTGTTAAGCACTTATAATAAATCTCGTCATACGTCAATTTGCGATTCACATCGATGTTTCTCCCGGCGTATGCGTTTTCAAGTGATTTACTGTTACTTACACTTAATTTACAGTTATTCTCTTTTTCGTATTTTTTTTAAGGTCTATAATCTCCTCATAGTCGGCAAATTTTTGACCGACATGAAAAATTCCTTTATTTTCACTCATATTATTTAATTAATGTTTAACTAATTTATCAATTAATCACTGCGGTGACACCCAGAACGTAACGAGGTAGGAATAAAAGCATCGCTCACGTCTCCTAGATGGTATTCTCCATTAGTTTCAAATTCTTTTGTTACGGATTTATAAACACGACCATTTGATGGTGCTGTTTACGACACAATCTCTGTATTGTTCATTTACATTAGATGATACGAGAGTGCACTCTAGTCCAGAGCCGGGCAAACTTTAACTTCGCAGGAGCCGCTACATGAGGTTAGTTTGAGTCACTCTATACCCTTCAATGAGTACGAGAGAGTAAGCAATAATGAATAATTTTGTTTTGTCTTTTTCTTCTCTCTTCCACTCCCATACCAAGCCCCTTCATCACGTAGACGAGCGAAGCCACTCTCGCAACTTAAATGATACCTACGAAAATTTTCGTTACTACGTTCGTAAAACTATTGGGTTTGGCTATGGAAGAGGGGACTCACCTACGAAATGGAAGGGATAAGAAAAGGAAAGAATCATCTCACTCGCACTCGCAGGATAAATCAGGAGTTACTTGGTTAACCTTGAGGAGCACTTGGGATGCAAAAGATCCGAGTTTGCCCGGCTGTGCTCTAGTCGAGTGAAAATCAAAATACGTTGGTAGTAATGTTTAGATTATTACTGACCGAATTTTAAACGTGCTGATGTTTTGCATCCATTGTTTTATCATTATTAATAACAATGGCCGATGAGATCAATAGTCTTAAAGTTCGATTGAAATTTTCATCTGTCAATGAGTTTCTTGAATTTTTTAAAAAATATAAAGAAAACGTTCATCAAGTTTTTACTATTTATACTAGTAGAAAAATAGAAAAGTCGTTACGTAGTACAGTGAACGAAGCATTGAAATATCATTATACTGAGTATCGTTGTAAATTTGGTAAAGCTACTTGCGATTCTGTTGCAAATGAGCGAAAGACGAGGTATAAACTATTTATTTAAACAGTATTGTCATTATTAATATGGTTTTATAATTTTGATCGTCAGTATCTGATCTTACAATAACACATTTTTCCATTACAGCACATATAAAGTAGGTTGCAAAGCTTTCATAAAACTGAAATTGACAAAAGATAATAAAAACTTGATAATATACGAATTATCACTTGAGCATCGAAACCATCCATTCTCTCAAGTATATGATTAAAAATCAATTGTTTCTCTATAACTTTATTGAATTTAATTGAAGTGTGCTTAATAGGAGGTCACAAAGGAATCAGCTTTTTCATTGAGATTATTAACTCTTTCAAGTACGGTGGGTCACAAACTAAACCTCTTTTTTGTACACCTCAGAGGTATGGTGGTGTAAAGAATATACCACTAAAACTAAAATCGTTTTCGAACAGGCACGCCGGTTTAAACATTGTACCACATATCCAGGCGTCCCATTCGAGCTTTAAGGGTCTGGTGATGCAATTTCTGAGGGTATACGTTAGTTATGATTGCAAATTTACACCATTTATTTGAATCTTATCATCGTGTGCGGTTTGTACAGATTGTTGGTAATAATAAATAAGCGTTTTTACTATTATTTTGAAAATTGAAAGAATCGTATACTACTGAGGCAGGTAAAGGTGAAAAAGTAATTTTTATATTCATATACATTATTTATGTTACGGTTTTTTGTCATTATGTTTAGTGTATATAAATAGTACCACCGTACCAATCAACAGCAACATGAGTCGAAGGCAGCAGCCAGTGACTTTTAAGTTATTTGGGCTTACAGGTATGACTTCAAAACTGGTAGACGATAATTGTAGCGATGCCGCAATTGTGTTATCTGGTTCGGATAATGAATCGTCTGAAGAATGGGATCCAGACGATATAGTGCCATTAGCGACATTGATACAAAAATGTAGAAAACAGAACTCAATAATTTGGAATAATCATCTAAGCAATATCAACCCACCGGAGCAATTTATTTGTGATGTTGGACTTCTTCGTCATTTTTATAAAGATCACGAACATTTGAATCCTTTTGAAGCGTTTAATTTGCTATTCACTGATGATATTCTAAATCATATTGTTTTCCAAACAAACCTGTATGCGGAGCAACGATTTCACACTTCGCGAAAGCCATATGCTAAGACAGATATTACAGAAATTAAAACATTTTTAGGTATTAATCTTCTAATGGGTATAAAAGAGTACCCCAGCTATAGAGACCATTGGAGTTCGTCTCCTGATCTTCACGATCCGTACATAAGCAAACTAATGACACTGCATAGGTTCGGCTGGCTTCTTACACACGTCCATCTAAATGATAACAGTATAATGCCTGAACGCAGTAGAGATAATTATGATAGATTATATAAAGTACGGCCTTTTCTTGATTTATTAAAAACTAATTTTCAGTCGTGTCTACAGCCTCATGAGAACATTGCCGTAGACGAGTCAATGATAAAATTTAAAGGACGCTCTTCTCTAAAACAATATTTGCCTAAAAAACCCATCAAAAGGGGTTATAAGGTGTGGATATTAGCTGATGAAACAGGGTATTGTTGGAATTTTGAGATATACACTAGGAAGACAGGAAATGGGATAGAAAAAAGCTTAGGAGCCAGAGTTGTAAAAACATTGGCGGCCCCTTTTATAAATAAAAATCACCGAATATTTTTTGACAACTTTTTTGTTTCGGTGAAGCTAATGCAAGATCTTCTTTCACTAAAATTATTTGCTACTGGCACAGTCAATTCGAACCGGAAGGATTTGCCCAAGTTCAGACCTGACAAAGATCTAAAACGAGGAGAATATGAGTGGCACACGACTAATACAGGAGTTACCGCAGTAAAATGGCGCGATAAGAAGTCTGTTCATCTACTCTCTAATTATCACGATCCTTCTATTACTACGGAAGTTAGAAGGAAGGAAAAAGATGGAACCTTTGTTCAAATACTTTGCCCTAGTTTACTCACCGACTATAATAAGAAAATGAATTTCGTAGATAAATTTGATCCAAGGCGAGCATCCTACGGGCTTGATCGGAAAAGTCATAAATGGTGGCACAGAATTTTTTTCTTCTTCATAGATACAGCATTGGTAAATGCGTTTGTTATTTATAAATTGCATAATAATTCATCCAAACTAAGTCTAAAAGATTTTCGAAGACAAGTCAGTGACGGTCTCTTTGCAAGAACGCCTGTGAAAAAAAGATCCCTACCTATACAACTTGCTACAACAATTAAAAATCATAAACCATCAGTATCAGAGAGGGTAATGTTAACTTGTAGTGTTTTCGGTGGTTTTTGGTATTGCACAAATATGGCGCGATGAATTAAAAGAAAACACTAACATAGAATTGGTCTCTAAGATTTTTATAAACACACCAACAGGAACAAGACAATCACAAAACAATAACAACAACAATAATGATAATAACAATAAACGGTAAACTTACGAAATAGCTGGGAGAAAAGAACTAGAAGAACTCGGAAGAACTAACTGATTTTTGAAATCGAAAATAAGGGTATTTATAGTTAATAATTGTAGAAGATAGAAAAGGAGAAGGGTAGTTTAGAAGGAAGACAGAAGGTACAAGTACTGACGGTAAAAGTTCTCAGAAGTAAATAGAATGGAATGTTATTGACGGAGAAACCAGATTGTTAGTAATTATAAGACAGGGTACATGCAGGTATAGGGGTTCCAGGTAATGAAGCATGCTTAAGAGTTTGAAATTAAAGTTGAAAGTAAAGATTTAGAAATAAAAATTCAAATATTTACAATATGTACAGATCGCTACAGTACCCTCCTGCTAGTGATAAGGTCACGATTATGGGCTTGCTTGATAGCGATCGGTGAAGCGAACCTTCCTGCCTGATCGGTTAACTGTGGGTTGCATTTGATCCTGGATAGGTTGCTCGGACTGCATCGTTTGCTGAGGAACTTTTTCTTGCGTGTCGTCCTCTGACATGGTAAATGCTGGTTTTAAACGGTCGATTGAGACCACGACATTTTTGCCATTTATTCGCACGATGAATATTTTTACTGTCCTGCTAATGACCGTGTATGGACCTTCGTACGCAGGATGTAGGGGTTGTTTGGGTCCATTATATCGTACGAAAACTTGATCGGTGTTAGCTAACTCCTTAAAGACGAATGTCTTTTGTTGTTTATGACTTGTAGCTGCAACTGGGGTCAAGTTTGCGAAGTCGTTTTTGAGTCGCTCGGCGTAATCAGCTACATCCTCGAACGTTTCGCCCTTTCTTGGGGCTAGGAACTCTCCAGGCAATCGCAGCGGCTGTCCGTAGGTAAGATCCGCGGAGGTGGCTTGAATATCTTCTTTCCATGCCGATCGTATTCCCAATAAAACGGTAGATATCACTTCGGTCCATCGGTCAGTGGCGTGACATATGATAGCTGACTTTAGTTGCCGGTGTAATCGTTCTACCATTCCATTGGCCTGGGGATGATATGCGGTCGTACGTAGGTGGGTTGATCCAGTCAGTTCGTTGAGACGTCGGAAAAGATCTGATTCGAACTGCCGTCCCTGGTCGGTAGTTACTTGTAACGGTACGCCAAATCTGCAGATCCACCCTTCGTAGAAGATTCTAGCCACGGTTTCGGCGGTCTGGTCCTCCAATGGAAATGCTTCCGGCCAACGAGTGAAACGGTCCACGCAGGTAAAGCAATACCGTTTGCCTTCGGATACTGGCATCACGATCAAATCGATGTGGACATGGTCGAATCTGGATGCTGGTTGTTTGAAAATCCCGTGCGGTGCTGATACGTGACGCGTAATCTTCGAACGCTGGCATGGTACACATGCGCGAGCCCATTCGCGACAGTCTTTTTTTATGCAGGGCCATACGAAACGACTTGTCATCAGCTTCACGGTGGCTTCGATGCCGGGGTGAGAAAGGCCGTGGACTGCATTGAAAGCTGTTTTTCGAAATTTTGGCGTCAGAAATGGTCTCGGAACTGTTGTAGAATGGTCGCAAAAAACAGATACACCCATACCAGGAATCTCGATCTTCTTCAGTTGAAGGCTTGATTCGGGGCGTAGGTATGTTTTTATTTCTTCGTCCTGCTGTTGGTCTGTTGCGAGGGCGATGAAATCTAACGGTTCCTTGACCTCCTCTATTCGCGACAGCGTATCAGCGAAAACGTTGTCTTTTCCCGATACATGTCTGATGTCTGTGCTAAACTGAGCAATTAAGTCCAAATGACGCGTCTGACGGGGAGTCCATTTATCGGACTTTTGTTTGAAAGCAAATGTTAGAGGTTTATGATCGGTGTATATGACGAATGTTTTCCCTTCTAACATATGGCGATAGTGTTTAATAGCTGCGTATATAGCTAACAATTCTCTATCATTTGCACTCGGCTGGGCTTAACTTCTTTGAAAAGAAACCTAGCGGTTCCCAATCATTGTCGACACGCTGGTGCAGGGCAGCTCCAACAGCTGTATTGGAGGCGTCGCAGATGAGTGCTAGGGTTGCGTCCAGTTTTGGGTGGGCCAGAAGGGTAGCTTCAGCGAGGCTATTCTTGCAAGCGACGAATGCCTCTAGTGCAGCCGGTGTCCACTCTATTGGCGCTTTCCCTTTTACTCCATCGTGCAAGAGGCTGGTCAGGGGAGCTTGCTTATCTGCGGCGTTTGGCAAAAACTGGAGGTAAAAATTTAACATACCGAGAAATTGCCGCAGCTGCTTGGCGTTCTCCGGCTTCGGGTACTTCCGTATCGTCTCGACTTTTTCCGGTAATGGTTCAGCTCCGTTACCCGTTAGTTGGTATCCTAGGAACTGCACCTCTGGTTTGCCGAATACGCACTTCGCCTGGTTGATCACGACTCCGTGGTGTTGTAGGCGACCGAAGAGAGTTTTCAGATGGTCATAGTGTTCTTCTTCGGTTGCGGACGCCACTAGGATATCGTCAATGTATGCGTAGCAGAAGTCTAATCCACGCAATACATTGTCGATAAACCGTTGAAAAGTTGCGGCGGCGTTACGAAGCCCAAACGTCATATATTTGAACTCGAATAGTCCAAACGACGTGGTTATCGAAGTTTTTGGTATGTCCTTCTCTGCGACCGGTATTTGGTTGTAGGCACGAACCAAATCTATCGTGCTAAAGATCTTCTTGCCGTGCAGCGTATGCGCAAAGTCTTGAATATGTTTTATCGGATATCGGTCTGGTATAGTTCGAGCATTTAAACCACGGTAGTCTCCGCAGGATCTCCAACAATTGTCCTTTTTAGGTACCATGTGCAATGGCGACGACCACGGACTCTTTGACGGACGTGCGATGCCGAGCTCCAACATTGCCTCGAATTCCTTTTTTGCTGTCATCAGCCTTGCAGGGTCTAGACGTCTAGGTCGATGAAATACAGGGGGTCCGGCGGTGGTGGTAATGTGGTGAACTACCTGATGTTCGTTGTCGTTGTTTCGCGCCTGACCGCTCGGTTTTGTAAGGCTAGAAAATTGTTGCAGTAGTTGGTGAAATGTAGAATTTCCGCTTACTGTTTTCACACTCGGGGTATTGCAGCCTGTCAGTTGTCCTTTTGTTGTTAAGTTGGTAAGTTGGTCGTGTAACTTGCCATTTCGGAGATCGACCAGTAAGCCAAAGTGAGACAAAAAATCGGCTCCAATTATAGGCTTCAAAACGTCTGCGATTACGAACGACCATGGAAAATTGCGGCGTAGACCTAGATTCAGGTTGAGGTTGATCGTCCCGTAAGTTGCAATTGGTGTCCCGTTGGATGCCGATAACTCGTACCCCGATCTTGCATGTACTATGTACCAATGAACGTGGATACACGCATAAGTCGGCTCCTGTGTCTATTAGGAAACGTACACGAGACGTTATATCTTTGACGAATAGGCGGCGTGGTGATGTTCTCGGGTCGCATGCCGCCACTAGCAACCTGTCGCTTCGTTTCCCGTCTGATTTTTGGAGCAGGGAAGTCTACATTTTCTGGCCTGGGGTCCAAACTTCCAGTGGTACCAACACATACCATTTTCGGGATGATCTCGATGTCTGGAATGTGAACGGGATCTCGGCCTTCCGGATCTGTACGGGGATCTACGGCGGTCGCGCATTTGCGGCTGGGTAGAAATTGTTTCTATTTGTTGGCGTAATGCGGTTATTTGCTCCGTCACTTGTTGTTGGATAGCCAGTTGAAGTTGCGCAAGTCGAATTTCCAAATTCGTATCGTTTGAAGATGCCTCTGCTACCTGGGGCCTATATATCCTTGTTGCTTCCACTATGGTGTCTGCCATGTCAGCCAGTTGATCTAATGTGCTGTCTGATTTTGTCACTAGGTGTGGTTGGAGATGCGGTGGTAATCGACTTAGCCAGATTGTGCGTAAAACAGCGTCTCCTACTATACTTCCGGCTAACGAACGCAGGTGTCGGAGGAACTGCGACGGTTTCCGGTCACCAATACTCTCGTGCTCTAGGAGCTTGCTGGTCTTCTGTTCTTGCGATTGGGAAAGTCTCTTGATGAGTTCGCTTTTCAGCACTTCGTAAGAATTTTCTGCAGGCGGATTCATGACAACATCCCGGACTTCTGCCAAGTACTTGGATCCAAGTGCGCCTAGAATATGGGTAAATTTCACCTCGTCTTACGTAATTTCTGATGATTGGAGAGTTCTTTCGAATACGGCGAAAAAGTACTCGGGGTCGTTGGGAGTAAACTCAGGTAACCTCAGGACGGCTCGCTCAGTTGTGGACGGAACCATTCTTGGTACTTGAATTTCTGGAAACCTATTTTGCGCTGTTTGCTGTTGCCATTCTTGCATACGACGCTCGAATTCTTGCCGTTTTTGGTCAAGTTTTTGGCGCTGTTCTTCAATAAGCAGCCTTTGGGCTTCTATTTGCTGCACCAATTCGTTGTCGGCACGTGTATTAACCATATTTCGGAAAAAATTACGGCGTTAACAAAAAAAAATTTGAAAATAGCGAACCGTGTCGATACACACTTGTGCCTGCACACAATTTCGCAGGTACACAATCGCGCCGGAACACAATCACGTCGGGGTCACCACTGTAGTGTTTTCGGTGGTTTTTGGTATTGCACAAATATGGCGCGATGAATTAAAAGAAAACACTAACATAGAATTGGTCTCTAAGATTTTTTATAAACACACCAACAGGAACAAGACAATCACAAAACAATAACAACAACAATAACGATAATAACAATTAACGGTAAACTTACGAAATAGCTGGGAGAAAAGAACTAGAAGAACTCTGAAGAACTAACTGATTTTTGAAATCGAAAATAAGGGTATTTATAGTTAATAATTGTAGAAGATAGAAAAGGAGAAGGGTAGTTTAGAAGGAAGACAGAAGGTACAAGTACTGACGGTAAAAGTTCTCAGAAGTAAATAGAATAGAATGTTATTGACGGAGAAACCAGATTGTTAGACAGGGTACATGCAGGTATAGGGGTTCCAGGTAATGAAGCATGCTTAAGAGTTTGAAATTAAAGTTGAAAGTAAAGATTTAGAAAATAAAATTCAAATATTTACAATATGTACAGATCGCTACAAACTGAAAGCACGCATCAACCTATAAGAACCACTCGTAGAAGATGTGCCTATTACAGCACGAAAAAAAATGATATTAGAACTAATTGGAGATGTAGTGTATGCCAAGTCCCATTATATTTAGGGAAAACAAAATTCTGCTTCCAGTCTTTCCACAGAAAATAAAATAATTTGGTTTATAGTTATTTTAAGCTTAAGTATGGTAGTTTAAAAAATTAACCTCCCTCTATATTTTTTTGTATATCAGGAATCGTTTTTTTCTTCCTATGAGTGCGTTATTGAATATCATATAAGCCAGTTATCAATAGCATACAGAAAGGAACTACAGATGTTAGGAGACAGTTGGAGCATCAGTTCATTAAACCCACAAGAGACATCTAGAAATAAGAGATCGTTGGACTTCATTGGTGAAGGATTCTCGTGGTGCTGCGGACTAGTAACACACGAAAAACTAAAAATGGTAACGAAAAACGAGGACCGGTTAAGGCAGCAGCTCCTATCACTTACGAAGGGGCTTTCATCGTCGGTGAAACAAGTCAGTGAAAATTCAGAAAGGTTCAGAAAATACGACAGCATGATATCAGCCACGTTTCAGAAGAAGGAAGACAGAATGAAAATCATTGAAAGGTATGTAAAGATTAAAAAATATCATTCAAACTACAAACACCAACAAATAAACGACCCACAAATCACTGGTGTATCCACAATAACCAAATAATTGCTTGACCAAAACCAACAAAATGAAACAGTAAATCAAACTTGTAGTTTCTGAACCGGAAGTCGGGAAACGATACCACTACATCACTTATCTATGGTCGCAGATGGACAGCGAAACGATGGAGCTGTTCACTTCACATGGACTTCCCAAAATATATAATTTAGAAAATCAACCACAATGGAAAAACCGTGGAGCGAGTTGGCAGACTTTCTTCCAACTAACATCTTTCTACCGACTACAGTACTGGACCAACGCCCAACAATATGAGAAAAACTGCAACGTCCAGAAGATTATTAAGAAACATAATATAGAAAAAGAATACATCAGCAGTTTTAACTCCCATGAAGTAGATTTTATATTCAAAACTGCTGTTAAAAAATACAACCAAGGATACGGTGGGCGAGCTAACGGATCACCTGACACGCCAACACGGAAAGACACGGGCAAAATTCCACAAACAAGCATCGATTTGCCATTCCTGACGTGATAGTATGCTTTATTTTTATCTATAAATGCCCTATTTTTCAACGATGGAAACATGATGCTAACCTTGATCCAAACCACACGGGTTCTCTCCTCAAGAAAAAGACGATACGAAAGTGCGGACTCATGGAAAAACTGTGCAGTGTTGATATGCTAGTGGGTGTTCAAAGATTAATGTCATAATATAGTAAGTGTTACGAAATTTAGTGTCGCGAAAAACATTAATAATTGTAAATTAGTTGTAGTTCTTTAATATTTAAGCAATATTTTTTGTAACAACTTTGTATTTTCAATTTGCTGATGATTACTCTTAGGGAATTTTTTCCTTTTTCAAATTTTTTTCTTTAGCTAAAGGTGGAGCCCATCTTTTGTAAGCCAGGGGGAAATGTCACGCAGTGAAATTTTAATGAAATTCAAAAAACTATTTTAGACTTCAAAACATATTTCAAAATCAATTAAATATTTCATAATTATAACGTTGCTATTCTTTTCAAATTCATAAAACGGATATCGAGTTCATTTACTTGCAAAATAAGCGCATTTCGCATTACACAGCAACGAAGTGGTAAGTGAAAAGTATTATTTATTTACAAGCAGAATTTGACGCCAGTTCGATAGCTCTGGTCATTGGGAAAATTATTGAACTTCGCGAAGTCATCAATAAGGACTTCGACGGTTTTTTTCATTAAATCAGCTAAACCAGAGAAACTTCTGGAACCAGTGAATGACCCATGGACAAATAATCACTGGGTCATCAAAAAGTTTAGCGCGTGAACGGGAATCGATAGTCGGATCGCGATCAGTCGATTCCGGAACGCGAGTAACGGGTGGCAAACTTTGGGTGTTGGTGACACTACCCCCTGGGCGATGATGATTGCGACGCTTCTATCAATGTAAGTAATCCAAATTTATCTTTTTTGTGTTTTGATCTACATTGGGGGAAGATCCTTTTGTAAATGTTTTTATTCAATTTTATTTATCATTTTATATATAATAAAGTTGTAATTGTTTTAAAACTTGCCAATCTTGTCATCTTAGTACCTGACCCCCAGTCACGCCAAAATAATTAATTTGCACTAAAATCAGGCAATTAAAATAAATAATTAACCAATTACCGATGTAACATAAATGGTGAAGACACCGTTTCCAAATCGAGCGTGACAATAACTGCAAAGAATAAACTTTCAAACTTAAACTCATTCCTTGATAACAAAGGTTTATTAAGAGTAGGTGGAAGGATCAAACATTCACAAATAGATAATTGCCTCTGAACATTTGAAAAATTTGCACATGGGAACACAAACATTACTTTCAATAATTAGACTCAAATATTGGCCTACTGATGGTCACAGAGCAATCAAGGGTGTTTTAAAAAGGTGTAGGTATAGTATGTTTTCAAACTAATCCAAAGCCAATTAATTTTCTTATGGGAGACTTACCAAATGTAAGAGTGACACCCAGTAAACCCTTTACAAGATGTGGCTTAGATTACGCCGGGCCGGTATATGTAAAGGATAGAACATTACCTAAACCAAAATTAGGAAAGACGTACATTTATATCTTCGTATATTTCAGTGTCAATGCAGTACACATAGAACTTGTGAATGATCTCACAACCGATTTTTTTCTAAATTGTCTAAAGAGATTCATCTCTAGAAGAGGCAAACCAAGTGCAATTTATACAGATGACGGCTTAAACTTCATTGGTGCCAATAATCACTTTTTAGAATTATATCATTTATTAAATAGTAGTAAACATAATGACAGGGTTAGTGATTTTTTGGATCATGATAAGATAGAATGGATTTTCATACCGCCAAAATCGCCCCACGTGGGTGGCCTTCGAGAAACCGCGGTAAAATTTACCAAATTCCATTTAAGGCAAGTATTGGGTAACACTTCAGTTACTTACGAGGAAATGTATACAATTTTAACGCAGATAGAAGCCTGCTTAAACTCCCTCCACTATCACCTCTATCCCTAGACCCTGATGATTTACTACCTCTTACCCCTCCACATTCCGTGATTGGGCAATCATTAACAGCAGCTCCTCAAAGAGATATTTAAGAAGAAAAACTGACAGTTTTATCACGCTATCGCTTTTTGCAGCAATTACTCCAACAATTTTGGTCACGTTGGTCGCGAGAATATCTGTCTCAACTTCAGAAAAGAAACAAGTGGAAAGGGGATCCAGGTTCTGAGCTGAAGATAGGTTCTCTGGTTATACTCATGGAGGATAATGCACCCTCATTGAAATGGTGTATGGGCAGAATTACAGACTTACATCCAGAACGTGATGGCATTGTTCGACTAGTGTCAGTAAGAACAGCCAGTGGTAGTATTTTTCGACGGAATGTAACAAAAATTTGTGTTTTACCGATGGTTGACGAAGGTTAAATCAGAAGAGAATTATTTTTTTTTTTAATTAGTTAGTTGTTCATAAAGATGTGATTCTTATTTATGTTTTTAAGATTTTCTGTATTCATCTATGTATTTTAATGTATGTAATACCGTCATTATTCTGTTGAAAGAGAGCATTCAAGGTCGGTGGCAACTGTACAATTTCATATATTTTTCTTGGATTACGATTTATTTTATGCGCCTGCATCACCCACCTTTACCCAGGTGTAGCGATTGTGCGTTTAGTGGTAGGGGTGTGATTTCAGACAAGAGTAGTGGTACCTGTCAATTGATAAAGATTCCTCATTCCCTGCATAGGGTAGTCCTTTATGCAAATCGGTATAAAGAAGTTTACAGTCTTCGCCAAAATTCTGATCACAAAAACAGTATCTAATAAGAAATAGTCTTTTAGGTAATTGTAAATGTTGAAGATATGTATCCCCTACTAAAGCTATGATAAACAAGCTTTCGGAAAACTCAAAATGTCACCTGCTATCAAAGCGTCAATCTGTGGACGAATCCATGATTCGTTTCAAGAGCCGCATTTCTTTCCGACAGTATATGCCGCTAAAGCCTATAAAAAGAGGTTACAAAATGTGGGTCCGGGCAAATGAGTATGGTTACGTCTCTCAATTCGCAATATATATGGGCAAGTCAGGTGGTGAGGATGGTACGCGTGGTGAAAATGACTTGGGAAAGCGCGTCATAACTGATCTCACAAGAGACATAGTGAATAAATACCACGAAGTATACATCGACAACT